TACAAACTACTCTAGGCCACGCTGAGGAGCGGTTGCGCTATATTTCAGTGGATAGCTCTGCAAGATTTCATTACTGAGTCGTTTTTGTGGTCTATCCATAGGCGTAAGAACATTTTTGCAGTTAAAGTATTTACATTACACTGTGTGGGAAAAGTTTGACAACAGAATTTGATTTATTACTAACAAATGCTGTGCGCATTAATCAGATATATCATATTTAGTAAAATTTTGAGGTTATATCTGGCGGCGCAGAATGAGTGCAAAGTATTTGGTGCAATGAGTCTATTTATAATCGCACGCTCAAATTTTTGCTTTTGCATACAATTATTAACTTTAAAAAAAAAATTGTCTTACCGATTCGAACACTAAATGAATTCAAATGCGTTTAATTAATGCTAAAGCTATAGTTAAACTTTCAGCGGAAAGTTATTAGTGTGCATAAACGCTTCATAAACGCTTCTCCAAAAAATGCTTTTACTTGGAAATTCTAGCTAAAGCTACATATATTAAAATTTTAATTATATGAATATTTATACACTACTCCCATACTTCTTAAGTGTTTTTAGACGCGTGCATTACATCCCAGTAAACCAACATGCTTAGTATCCCCAATGCAAAGAAGCCATTCTTACAATATTGCCAGCTACGGCTGTTACGACTATGGAAACTGGAGCACAACTATCGAAGCTATATCAACAATTTATTGTTCCATCTCAAAAGATATTTATTTTTATAGCAGACAGGATAATTAGACCTTATATGAAAACCGTAGTCCCCCGTAAGAATAATGGCAGCTGAACGATTAAAAACTACCATTAAAATAACGTACTTTAAAATAAATATGGAAAAAGAATAAATCAGTTTTTCAAAAATAAGTATTTAAAAAAATTGCAATAAATTTGAATACCTGTTAAGCATAAAATAAAAAACCGATTCCATTGGAAATGGAAAATGTAAATATATTCTTTAATATTTTTTGATGTAAATTTTTATTGCAATTGAATGAATGCACATAAAATACAACTCAGCCGCAAAAACCTATAAAAGAAAATTTATGGTATCCTTTACAACTTAAATGCCAGGCAAACCTTATACATACTTATAGTATATAACTTACTACTGCATGTGATGCGTACACAAAAAACAACTTGTCGAAACGTATTTATATATGGTAATTTTCTTGTATACAGTTTTTTCTACAATGACATTTTGCAAAAAGTTATCATTTAAGTCAACCATTTGTAAAGAAAATAGTGTTGTTTCATATTACAATGACGTTATCGCTCAATACATACAATTGTAGTATTGTAGTACCATGTCAAATTGTTACCAAATAAAGGCTTTTCAAGTGATTGAAACGATTGCTTGTTAGTTGCCACCCAGGAGGAAAATTAACTAACGAACATATTGTTTTTTCCTACCAGTACTTTAATTAGAAAATGTTGATTATAAACTATTGTCTATTTTGGAGAGCTGAAACGAAATCGAAATTTGAAAAAATTTTATTTTTTATAAATAGCTTAGTAAAGAATTTTTCGCTGGTTTTAAATCAGATTAGAAACTTTTTAAATAACTGGTCATATACTTGTATACTGATTATTATGTTTCACTCAAGTAAAATTTCCCCGCGGAATTTTCTTCCATACTATTTCTTATTCTCACTTTTAGTAATTCAATTTGCTTCAGTGAGAAAAATAAGATGCTTTTGCTACATGACGTCACTCTAGCAATACAAAATGAGAGAAACACCGTAGCTACTCTCTCTCTTTCTCTTTGTCTCTATATCAGTCAGGTGAATGAGAGTTTGAAGAGTAATAATTTTGGTGTGCTATCAGCGTAGCAATACCCAGTGCATTACTACTGTCATGAGAAAATCTTATTATACATAAGTTATAAATTTCAATTCCCACCGAAAACAAAAAACCAAATAAAAAACGATATTTTATTAATTAATAACAGGCTCGACTTTTTTAGGACCTGTTCTGGAAATATTTCATAAAAGTAACTCGTTTAAAAATTGAGCAATACTTATTAAAACATTTATCATGAGAGAAATTTTTATATAACAGTTGAACTTGAAAATCAACAAACCTCATTATTTCTACTAACAAAATTTGGTAATTTCGGGAAATAAATATATGTCTAATAATATAAGTATAAAGTTGTTGATATGTTGTTGGTATGTAGTCAATAAAAATAGAAATAAATTCCCAACAGCTTCACTTGCTGAATTTTTTTTATTGTTATTCAACTGAGCTGACATTCGTGGTAAGGATCTGTCGTAGATATTTAGCTTCGTTTGCAATGAAATATTGCATGTGTGCTCCTCTTTATAATAATCAGATGAGCAACTTGACCACTCAGCTATTGACAATTGGACAAGTTCATTTATTTTACAATACCAAACGATGTGGTTTTATCGAAAACTAATTTTGAGCTTTAGCAGCTGAAGTATTTTTTGTTTATTTATTTTATTTTAATGATTGCAATACTCGAATATCCAAAATCCCCTTAATCTTTTATATTTCTTGTTCATTTGTATTTTTCCTTATCCTATTTTCAACACCCTTTGAGTGATTTATTGCTTCCAGTTGAGTTCGAAAGGATCACATTGACTGGTGAAACCCAAATATGCTGTGTTGTGATTTTTTCAATAACTGCTTGTTTTACTAGTTTGCTTCAGTCGCAGATATTTGTAAGAAATTGCTAAAATGTATATATGAGTACATATATGCTTAACAGATGGCGTTCAAAGCTCTTCATATGCTTCTTTTGAAAATAGCTTAGCTTATATCGTTAACTGGCATGTGTTTATGCGCTCAGGCAATGTTTGTTGAATTGGATTTTGTTTTGAAAATGTAAGAAAAAATACAAAAAAAATTTGTTTAATAGCCACGAAATGATTTCAGCGCATATTACAGCGACGTGTCTGTACCACAAGTGACCTCTTGTCCTTTGGGGACATGGATCTTCAAACACTGCACTGACTAGCGTCGCACAAGGCAAGTTTTAAGGCCAACATTTTAATTTGATTTATTATCTGTGTCTAACTGTGTATACATGTGCATGTGTGCATATGCTTATAACGGTGTCTGGCATATTTCCATAATTCATATCATAAGGACCATATCATATGAAAATCATAAAAATTAAAGAATATTTCTTATTTATCTTCTAATTTTTTTATATGCTATAATCTGGAAGAAAAACAAATTTGTCTGCCATTGTCATTAAATGTGGTCATAGACTGTGTAATGTACAATATAATATTTTTTTTAACCGAAATATCGTATAAGTGTGCAATATTTGTCAAAGAGAGAGAAGAGATAGCTTCATTTGTAAATAATTTTTTGTTTTTAATTATTGCATAACTGAATTAGTAATTCTCTCATAATAATTCATAATTTTCACTTCGTGTAATAATTTTACGATATATAGGTAAGGATGGCCGTTAGTTCCTAAATTGATATTTTTCCTTTGCTACCGCCCCCTAAAGTCCCAGTTTTTGCCCTCAAAAAATAATGCAACATAAGCATTCTCTTTATTTACAATTTAAACTGTGTCTAAATAATTTTACTTTTCCCTTGAATATAACAGTTATTGTATTCTAGCACAAAATTTTTCGCTCTACAAATAATAATGTTTTTTAATAAAACCACTCCTTTAAACGTTATACGCAGTTAAAATAATAAAATGCAAGTAAGTTTATTTTAAACTAGGGGTTTTGTGTGATCTACATACATAACCCACATATCAGTCAACACTCTATGCATTAACACATGCAAATGTGGCAAGTCCAGTAGCACCAAAACGCGAGCTAACCGCAATACACACCGCAAAACCACAAACAACTTACAACAACAACTTAAACCGATAGTTAAAGATATAGACAGGGGTTAATTAAATCAGTTTAGAGAAACCCTATTTTACGGTATAACGGCTTTTTATTATTAAATTAAGGTAATAGTACCTCAAGAATATTGTGTCAAAATTTCAAGTCAATTTAAACAAGATGACGAAGTTAGAAATATTATATTTTCCTACCTGATCGTTTTGAAATCCCGAAACCTATTGTATTTCTGTACTTAATTTATAATTAACAATGTTACTTATTTTAAAATTTTTTAATTGTTTTCAATTTACAATAACGAATTAGCCGATTTTTTCGAAAATCGCGTATTTTTCTTCGAAATAAACAAAAAAAATTGGAAAAAATTAAAACAAATCAAATAATGCCATGTAAAATATGTGGGAAAAGTAAAATGATAGAAGTACGCTTTAAATTTAAAATAGAGAGCTTGCTTACATTAGATCCTTTGTTAAGACAATAAGTGGATCTACAGCGGGAGTTTGCAAAAAAAATCAACTTGGAAAATAACGGACACCCTAATCTATATAAATATACTTGTATATATTGGTCAATAGGAGATGAATTGTGTTTCATAAGGACAACACCAGACCACACACATCGCTAGTGATCCGGTAGAGCTCCGGGAGTTTGGTCGGGATTTGAGTTTGGCTCATATGCATGCATCTTATTATCTAAACCTGGCAACAAGTGATTACTACCTATAAGTATACCTGGTTGGCTTTAATAAAATTGTTTTTATACAACAGGGTGGAAACGTCGTAGTATATACTTGTAGTATATAAATGATCAGCGTGACGAGCTGAGTCCATTTAGCCATATCCGTTTTACTGCCTGTATATATACGAACGAGTCTACCACTTTTAAAGACATTGTTTTGAGACTTTGCAGACGTCTGCTTCTCCGCAAGGAGCTACTCATTTGTCGGAACCGACGGTATTGGACGCCATAGCATATAGCTACCATACAAAATGAACGATCAAAATCAAGTTCTTGTATGCAAACCTTTTTTTATTTCGCGGGACATCTTCACAAAATTTGCCACTAGTTACTATCTAAGGCAAGGTTACAATACTCGAACATTTTTTTTTAGATCGAACCATTAAAGCATATAGCTGGCATACAAACTGAACGATCAAAATCAAGTTCTTGCATGGAATCTTGCGTATTTATGAAGGGTATTATAGTTTCGGTGCAACCGAAGTTGAACAATTTTCGTAATTTTTTTCAATTTCATCCGATATCAATGCAATTTTCATCATCCTACCACTGGCGTTTATAAAATTGCTATTTGTTCTTGTTGTTAAAGGTAACTAATAACAACAGTTCCAAAAACATATTCTATATTTACACACATATGTACACCCAATCGGCACTCTAAGGAGATCTATATGTACTAACAAACCACACGTGAAAATCACAAGCGCTGCATATCATGCTTACTAAAAAATAATTAATACTGTAAATACACAAACACGCCAATAAGTAGAAGCACACACACAAGTATTCGCTGTTCTAAATATAAAACTGTTGCACACAACCACACAACGCACCATAATACTTGTAATTTCGCTACATACATACAATACTCGTATAACTAAACTTAATAGCATTAACCCAGTAGTTAAATCATAGACACCACCACATGCACATACACACGCACACATTTGCATTATCATGTCTTTTGTGTTGTTCGCCCCGCCCGAAAAAAAACAAATGTTTTCATATGTTATAATACAAATAATTAATTCTAAACTAAACTATTCTTCTCCCTCTCCCTTCACGTCACGCTGCAGTGCAAAGTTGCTGCCGCCATGGTAGCTGCCTCAACGCCATTCAGCTACACTTCAGTGCAACAATTCAACGGCAATCGTTCGATCATGTGACGACAGCTCAGCAGCTGCAGCTCCTGTAGCGGTAGCAGCAGCTGCGGCCGCAATGCCATACATCATCATCATCTACACCCGCATTCGCATGCGCACCACCAATTGCAACAGCAGCAACAACAACAGCTGCAACGCAGCTGCACGCGCTGTCAAAGCTTTCACCGGCATCACCATCGCCAGCGGCGACGCAGCTCAATGCTGCGTCAGGATTTCACCAGTTTGCCAGGGTCGTGCCACACTGGCGCTAAAGACTATGGCGCCGACCATTTGGAACTAAGCGGTGGCAATGCTAACGGTGGTAACGGTAATGGTAACGCCAGAAACATACACATCACCAAGGCGATTGTGACGTTTTCGCCATCTGTGGCGCCAGATTCTTTGAATGTGCCATCTTCGTTGTCCGGTTCAATGTTAACCATCTCATCGGTGCCGACAACACTAATGTTGGGCGCGGGGACAGCGCCAGCGGACAGACATTCGTTAAGTGCCGCCACTACACCGCTGGCAAATACGACAAATATCAGTCCGGGCAATGCAAAGCACTGCAGTTTTGCACTCACCCCGCTAATACCACCGCCGCCACCGCCCAGGCAATTATCGTTCCTCACAACGACGCGCTTCCATGCAAATGCACAACGCGGCCCGACGGCGTCGGCAACAACGACAACCTCAATGACGTCAACGGTTTCTGCCAATACGCGACGCATGCCGTCAACAACGGTCTCAGCGCCGGCACTCATCGAAACGGCGGGTAATTGGTCGGCGACGCCACTCACGCCACTCACGCCGCTCACACCGCTTACACCCGGTTTACACGCTCAGCATATACACGGGAAGCATGCGACGCTGGAGGCGCGTCAGAGCGCGGTCAGTCAATTCACTACTTTAGAAGACTTGGATGCGATTGTTGTGGACGAAACGCCAAGTGATATGATGCGGAAGCTGGCATGAGCAGCAAATGAGAGGTGTGTGAATGAGCGGTAAATGTAAAAAGGTAAATGAGAATTAGATATAAAAAGAATGGCAGAGAGAGAGGCACAAGGTACCACAAATGCAATCCTGTGCACCGTTCATGCACACTTCTCACGCACTCAATTACTAAGATAAATATCAATCGTCGCTCAATTCAAGTGAAATTCGAGTTTTTGACACTACTTTTGTAAAAATATTTGGACTTTACTTTCTTATTATAATTAAGCTCTATTTATCTGTATTCATACTATTTGTAAGTTGTACAATATATTTTTAATATGGTTAGTTAATTAAATGCGTATTAAATGTTATAAACATACTATAAATAAGACATTCACAAGCATATAGTATATGATACACGTGTCAGACATCAATTACTGCGTCCCATCAACTGCAAACATTTCCATTGCACATGTACCTGTCACCCTACAAAACAATACAAAACAAAAGTAAACAAAAACACATCATAAATACGAGTATAATATAAAATTTATTTCTATCTAACTTTATTCTTAACTATATTGCTTAGACAATTTTACTTAAACAGGTAGATAATAGGAATGTTAGAAAGTTTATACGACGGAAACAAACCCATATTTACTAAATTTCAAAACTCTCAAGATCAACGACAACAGACAATTAAAAACCCATTTCGCAATGGCATAGATTATTTGAGGTTATGTGAGGTTAAAACTGTAGCAATTATCTCCGTCAAGGCATTGAATTATAAGAATGAAGTTATACCACCACGAACCCAGAGAAAAGTTGTTTATTTAAGCAGTTTGATAAAAGTAAAGAGTTCTCACGACCGCGTACCGAAATTTAACGAAAATATTCTATCTGCTTAATCTCCAAAAAGAGCGAACCACTTTATTTGATATTCACCTACACATTTTCTTTTCTGCGATAATTTTTTAAATAATTACCTATAAGATTGGTCTGGATGGATCTGACGGACCAGCTATCAGACCAGGGTGAGGGTAATACTTGGAAGTAAAGCTCAAACCTAATCTTAGAAACGAAAATGATATTCCTACAAAAGGCTCTTTGAGAACTGTGCTGATACAGTAAACTTTCTCACATTATTGGTTTAATAATAATAACTCAACAGCGTGCGATCGATTGCATCAGAATACATTCCTTCTGAGAGCTTCGGTAACAAGTGCTTTCTAAAGATGCCGAAAATCAGCTGTCGTGTGTACACAGGACCTTTAGCGCAGTCCTTGCAGTCCGACAACCTTTCTACAGAAATTTACATAATCGTGCTTCAACTATAAAAAGTTTAATCCAAGCTAAAAAAAGGAACGTATCGAATTTTCAAAAATTCATTTGGAATGTCACCTGATGTAACACATTTCACTGTTTTAGGGTGGGAAAATTCAGCCCTTTAAACTCCATTTATATATAATAATATACATACAATTATATATGGCATATGAAACATATGATTTTCCGTAATCAACAAAAAGTGACGATAATTTAGAAACCGAATTTCGACAAAAACCATTAATTAATGCTGTCAAGTATATAACAAATAAATACTTATGGTATATGTACATACATTTTTTAAATTTTGAAAGCGTGTAGGTAATTTTCCGCCTCAAAGCATTTGTGGTTTGTACTCAAATAAATGTCAAAATATTATTAAATTAATTGATTCGCTCGTACTGCAATTACTATTATAACGTAATTACTTTGACATATTGTAATTTGATTGCTTTTCAATAATTCATTTTAATGAAATATTCACACACTGCTGCAAAAATATTATCACGGAAATTTGAAAGAAAAGAAAATTATTATACATTGAAGCAAATCGAATAGTTTGCTTTTTTCATTCGGCTTATTCGGCTTAGAAGCTTTCACATAAGCTTTAGTTTTAATATGCAGCTTGCGTGAAATTAGGTTCACTTCTTAGTTTAAATTGTGTCTGGCATTAATGAACTTTAGTTTATTCGTCATTTAGGTGCTAATCAATAAGTATTTGTTCCTTAACATATGACTTATTGCAAAATAAGAACGCGTCTAGCCACTGCTATTAATGCCGTCATTAATTCATCTTGATTTCGGCGAATTTAAATTATTTATAAAATCAAAATTTTTGACCGTTGTTCGATCATTATCAGTACAAACTATTATAATAATGCCCTTTTGTTTATTTTTTAGCTTTGAGACAATTTTAAGCAGGAAAATCTTTCTTACCGCCAGACACCTTCTTTTAAATGTGCTCAGCTACAGGACCAAGGAAAAGCAAATTTTTTAAAATTATTCATTGGGCAAAAATACATTTTATCCGCTACAAAATAATTTTAGACAAAGTTGGCAAAGTAACTATTTAATAAAATTTAACCAACTGTTTTGGAACAAAACTTACCACACTACTGAAATAGAGAAAAAAGTGTTTTAACAAAGAATCGATTAGGGATTGCCTTTATTATTATTTTCTTATTTATTATACAAAATGCCTCTTACAAAAGAAAATCGCAAAAAATCTCGTCTTTTCTGACTTGTAAGTGAATATAATGCCTTAAGCAACCAAAGCCTTGTGACACAACATGAATTAACGAGAAATGTGAAATTTCCACAAATATTCAGCTACAAACCTTAATTCGTTTTGATAATAAACTGCGTTGCTTCTCTTACTGAACTCCGGTGCAAAGAACCCTATTACATACTTTTCGAAAACAGTAACATTAAGAGAAAAAGGATCTCACAACTTGTATTATATATATCCATTTTATATTTGAAACTTTGATAATTATCTAATTGTGACCTCGGCTCTCTTCGTATTTCTGACGTACTTTTAAAAAAACTTTATTTCTGCACTTCAATTGTATTCAAAAGATATTTTCTTCAATTTTCGCGAAATTTCTACAATGTGTACTCAAACTCAGCACCTCTGAAAATAACCTCAAATAAGCTATTTTATTTACAAATACCACATGGAAAACTCAAAACTCCGAAATATATAACATTTCATATATACCTTCAATAAAACTCGCTCTACACAAATTATTATTATAAAATCCCCATACATATTAATTACACTACTCCATAAGCTAATACACACGCAATCTGTTGTTCTTGTTGTACAACAAACATTTTATTAGTGAGAATGATCCAGCCAGAAATTAGCAACTGTTATTTTAGTCATGTTCCGAAATTTGGGGGCAATGAATCAAACATTTATGACACCACTAAAAATGTGTAGGCAACCACACAGCTATACCGCAAGCAGAACACACAACTACAAATTGCTACGCATACGCACACCAACACAAACACACACACACAGATACAACAAAATCAAAATGTACAAACATTTGCGCTAACAGCAACACCAACCCTTTCATAGCTGCATACATTTGTGTGGTAATGTTTATTTTATGCTGTGTAATCACACACATATGCATACATAGTATATGCAATTACTTATATGGTAGATTTGCATACATGGCCCGGTGGCGTATACGTAACATGTGTGGGCAATTAGTTTCAATTAAGTCGTACAAACTATTAAATAACTCAACTTTTGTATTGTATTTAAATATTTACGAAAGCAACAACAACAATAACATCTACTAAACTACTATATATAACGTTACTGTATACATACATACATAATATACACTATATATATAAATATATATATATATACAATGTACAAATGTGTAATAGAGTAAAGCAATTCCTTGCTGTTGTAGTGTACTTGTAGCATAAATAACGGGTTAAAAATTAATTCAACTCTAATTACAAGTAAATTGCGCTATAGAGAATTATTTGTTTTAAAATTTCATTTCTATGTATGCAAACACTTATATATAAGCATGTACATATGTATCTATAGATAAAATATTTGTGTAAATAAGAATATACAAATACGTTTGCATGTGCGTGTGTGCGCATTTAATTAAGTTGCTTTAGTACATAGAGATATACATGTGTACTAATTCAATTTAGGCCACAATAATGCGATTTCACTTAATGCGCTGCATTAAATACGATTAATTGCGGTTAGTTTAAGTGTGACAAGCGGAAAAATGGAAAGAAATGCGCTTAAGTAAGATATAAATTTAAGTAAGAAAATAAATTATACGGTATTTCTGCTGTCAATTTGTAATGTAGCAAATAAATTATATATACGTTGGAAATTGTTTGGTTAACAATATGCATGACAAAATAAAAATTGTATTCGAAACGTAGTTAATTTTTCTAAATTTAAATTAAAATTTTTATAAGTTTTTTGTTTTTTCTTTTTTAATTCCAAATTTTACAAATTTTTGTTTAATTTATTCTACTCTAGTTTTTATTATACAAAATTATTAATACAATTAATGTATTTAACTTTTTATTAACCACAATTTGAAAAAAATCTCATAAATTATAGTTTTGTTAATTTTATAGAAAATATAAGAAAAGTTATTAAATTATTATTTTTTTATTATTTTATTAAACAATTATAACTAAATTGATTTAGATATGTAATTAATTTATGTATTTAACTCATTTTAAACTAAAAAATTCAATAATTCATCTATAACTAAATGCAAAGCGTACTTAGATAATATGAAAATTTTGCTGAATTTTTTTTTTAACATAAATATAAAAAAAAATTTAAGCTGCGATTTTTGTTCAATTAAATTCACAAAAAATATAACCAACTTAATAAATTAAAATTTTATTTTATTTTATTAAAAAATTAAAACAAAAAAAATTTTTATAATTTTATACCTAATTTCTAATTTAATACAAAAAAAAATATATATACAATCAAAACTTAATTTTTTTTTATGCGAAAGTGCTAATATAATTAAATGTATTTAATTTCTTACTAACCAAAATTTGTAACAAAAAATTATAAATCACGATTTTTATAATTTTTTTTTATAAAATTTAATAGGTAGCATTTTTTTAATTGCAGTTTATTTTAATTAATAGTAACTTTTTTACAGTATTTTTCTAAAAATAATTAAAATAAACTTTTTCCTTAATTATTTTTTAAAACCCAAAACTAAAATATGTATTTCAATTTAATACAAAGAAATAAAAAAGGAATCTTTATAATAAAAATAATAATATATAAAATTTCATCTTTTTTTTAATTTTCTTGAATTAAGAGATATGAATTTTTGCTTATTTATTTATAACTTTTATTTAACAATTCTACATAAAAAATTATAATTATTTTAAATTAATTTAATATTAGAGAATTAAAACAATTTATTTTAAAATATTTTTTTTCTTTGTTAAATAAATAAAACAAAAATATTTGCAATAATTTAAGAATTAAAATATTTTAATAATTAAAACTAAAAAATTTTAAAATTCAATAACAAAAAAATGAATTCAATATAATTATATATTTGATAATAATTTGAACTAAAGCGTACTTCCAGCGGCTCATTGGAACAACGCTTTGGCACATTTAACAAATAAACTCAATGCACAGTTTGGCTCCAGCGAGGCAAGTTGGCTCCAATATCAAAAATATACTTAAAACGACTTTTCCTTACCGGAATCAAACTTATTGCATAAATATAAATAAATTTAAATATTTTTCTAATTAAATTAATATAATCAGAAATAAGTCCGTAAGTAAATAAATATATAACACTGTTAAATACTTCTAACTGTGAATATAATAAATATAAAAACCAAATAATAACATAAGCAGCAAAGCGTTTCGAAGAAGTCACATAAAATATTGCATATGTATAGACATTTAGCTAATAAATTATCGTTAGAAAGGGGAAGAAGTTATGCCCTTAATTGCTAAGACATAGTAACGCTA